TAGCGTTGCGTTGCATCGCGCCGCGTAAACATAAAACCATGTCTGCATTTGTGATTGGAGAAATGACAAAGCACTACTCTACATTGCTCAAAACTCGCGTTTGAATCATCAGTGGCAAATCCTTTAAATGAAAACGTACTTACAGTCTGTGAGTCAGAACAGCCGGCATTGTAGTCTACTCTTCCAGGATCAGGAAACAGTCCTCCATAAAATGTGCTGCACACAAATGAATATTTGGGTTGAACTGACAACACAGCCAATGTTATTTGCATATGAAATTCTTGAAGGATAAAGGAGGAACGTGGAATCGAATAGAGTGGAATGAACATAATATTTGTCATGAAATATTTGCCATGCTACAACATTTCCTGATTACAATCATTGCCATGTTTTTTCCCCAGCAACCTCTCTGAGCAGAGTTCTGCTGCTAGAGGACACATAGATGTTGATCTTTCAGTGAAGTGCTTTAATGAAATTATAAGCATCACATTTCTGTTTTTTCAATCCCCCCAAAATTGACACGCCATTGTAAGTGCCTCAACACAAATACAAAAGAAGAGTTGAAATAATTTTTGTGGTAATCAGGATTGGATGAAAGACATTTGTGAAACAATTGTTAGGAATGTAGAAGAATGTAAATTCTACCTACTTTGACTGATGCCTCATACAAATATGAGTAAAAGTGAGCAGAATAGGTTTATTTCATTTGATAGAATGTTGTAATGTCAAAGTGATTGCAATACAAAAGTTATTTTCTATGGCCACGAAAATATAATTTCTTAGAGATTATATGAAATTACATTGAATGTTCGCTGGACGAACAGATTAGTTGATGGTTAATCAGTTGATTAGAATATTAATTCTGCTACAGTTACTACTGGCAGCTGATATAAAATTTGTAATTAATTGTAATTATTTATATACATTTCCCTTTTGAGCTAATTTACATATCTGTGGCTGGAACGAAACCGCTCTCCTCAGTGCCTACCAGCAGGGCTTGAATCCTCGCATCCGCGCGCAAATGGCCATCTATGACGATATTATGGGGTTAGAGAGCTTCATACAAAGAGCCACACGCATCTCCCAACGGTTGTCAGCCTGCCAGCCTGATGAAGCCGTCCACCAGCCTGCAGCAGCCACCAGCGGTCCCCCAGTACCAGAACCCATGCACGTGGATTCCACCAGACTCGTGCTGAACGCGCTCGCCGCCTAGCGGCTGGACTATGCCTGTACTGCGCTGCTCCAGGCCATTTCAAGGCCATTTCATCAAGCCTGCCCCGTCAGGTCCCCACACCCTATGGTGAGTACCATTCAACTCGAACCAGTAATCTCAACTTTATCCTTGTTACCAGTACAACTCCTCACTGCCGATTGTTCTGTTTCAGTCTCCGCCCTTGTCGACTCGGGCTCTTCGGGCAATTTCATATCACGAGACCTCCTAAGCCAACTCCATCTTCCCCGCCAACGTCAGGCCCAAGAGCTCAGAGTCGAGACCATTCAGGGAAACTGCTAGGGCGTGGGCGGGTCAACTACCGAACCCCGCCGATGAAGCTGAAGATCGGATGTCTGCATGAGGAGACTATCACATTTCTGGTACTGGAGGGATCCACCGTCGATATCATCCTGGGATGCCCCTGGCTCACTCTCCACTCTCCAGAAGTCAGATGGGAACCTTGTGAGGTTACTCGCTGGATCGAGTTGTGCCGGCAAAACTGTCTCGTGGCGATCCCCAAACCGCCTGCGTGTCTTGTTCGAGCCCAAATTTCCTCCACCCTAGTTGAGAGTCCGGAACCTCAAGAAACACCCACTGTCCCATCTGACTATGTGGCATTCCAGGATGTTTTTAGTAAGCAGGACGCCACCCGCCTTCCACCTCATCGGTCATGAGACTGTGACATCGACCTGCTGCCTCCCGCCTTCCACCTCATCGGCCATGGGACTGTTCCATCAACCTGCTGGCTGGGATGAAACTCCCCAAGGGTAGAGTATACCCTCTGTCCATCCCGGAGCACAAGGCCATGAAGGATTAACTCCAGGAGGCTCTCAAACAGGGATTCATCCAACCATGTGTATCGTGTATCGATTATCACACGCTGAACTCCCAGATGGTAAAGCTGCCATACCCACTTCCCCTGGTCCCAGCCGCCTTCGAGGAACTCTGTGGAGCCCGCATCTTCAAGTTGGACCTGCGGAGCGCGTACAACCTCGTTCGTATCCGGGAAGGTGACGAGTGGAAGACTGCATTCATAACTCCCGCAGGCCACTATGAATATCGGGTCATGCCGTATGGCCTAGCTAACTCACCTTCAGTCTTCCAAGGCTTCATGAACGAGATGTTCCGGGATTTCCTTTACGCTTTATGATAGTCTATATCGGTGATATCCTCATATATTCCTGGAACATGGCCGAACATCGCCACCACGTGAAACAGGTCCTCCAGAGGCTCCGACAACA